GACACAAACACAGACAGATACACACACACACACACCCTTCCCCACTCGCATTGGCAGAAATGTAAGATCCCTCGCTCTTTTAGGGCTCTATCAGAGAGCAAAGGGCAGAAGGGACTTCAGAGTGCACTACTGCCTTCTTTTACAAGGAGGAAATTGAGACCCAGAGAGGGGAGGTTACTTACTTACCCAAGATCACACAACTAGTGAATAGGAGAGCTGGGGCTAGGACTCATGTTTCTTGGCTACCAATACAAGCCTCTCTCCTCTGCAGCTGGCTACCTTTACTCACCCCATGAGGGTCATAGTGAATTTGGATAGGGGGACGCTACATCCCTAGAGGGTATTTGGATATATTTCAGGAAGTCTTTGGGTTCACCTGTCCTTTTTCATGGGTAGGGAGATGCAGTAGCCAATCTGTCCCTGGAATCTATGGAGTAGCCTGGCATCATGGAAAGGCCCAATGTGCTTGTCGGAGTCTGTCACCCTAAATGTAGTATCTCCTGGGGTTCCCCCTCCCTGGGCCCTCCTACCCTCAGCCATGGCCATCCCTTCCCACACATACATATACCCTTCCCCTTTACAAACACATGCTCTTTGTTCCTTACCTTTGACTGAGGAGCTGCTTTCCCACCCCTCAACGGACCTCTCCCTGACCACGGTTTCACATGGAAGAGTTGGGGGGCAAGCACGGGAACAGAGTGGGAACCTGGCACATTGGTGGGGTGGGGTCTTGGCATGTTGGTAGGGTGAAGGCCTGGCACACCACCAACAGAAGGAAGGTTGGGCACAGCAACAGTGTAGGGACAGGATACACCAGTCGACTGAGAGTAAGGCACAGAGGCGGGACAAGGGGCAGCATGCCACTGAAGGGAACATAATCTGGGTATTCGGGCCCTGTCTGGCCCCACCACCCTCTGCAGCCGGATAGCTTCTGCCATATACCTGGGAAAAAGAAAACAACACAACTATGCTACCTCTTCTCCCATTCCCCCAGCCCGTGATATTTGTATTGCCCCAGGGCGAGTTGCTTCCAACATCCCCACCTCATCTTTTGAAGCTGAATAGTTCACTTCTAGAGAAACTGGGGGTGGCGGGTGAGGACAGGGAGGATGTGTAATAGCCAGGAAGGCAACCCAGCTACACTAACCACACTAGCTCTTTGTGTGATACATGGGGAGAGGGTTGGGTAAAGGAGCAAAGAATGGAGATTGAGGATGATAGAGAAGGGAGGGGTTGGGGGAAGGGCCAGGGAGCTCAGTAGGACCCTTCCACCCCCGGGCAGCCCACTCAGGTTGGGGCCCCAACTCACTTAGGTCCCAGTGGTGCACAAAACGTTAAGTACCAGTTGCTGGCACAGCCCTGGTCAAAGGGATTATAACCCTGCAGGTAACGGCACTGGGAGAGGCAGGAGGGAGGTGGGTGGGTTATTCATAGTCAATTGATAATACTTGTTTTAGCTTTCTTCCCTTCCCCTCTCCCCCAATCTCTCCCTTATTAGAACATAAGCACCTTTAAGGCCTGAGTCCCATTTCATCTTTGGGTCCCCAGCACCTAGCACAGTGCCTTCACTGCAGAGAGGATGGGGTGTGCTTAATGAATATGAAAATACCTCTCATTTAAAACTCTGCACTTCTATGTCATGTCCTTTTGCTTTCACAAACAACCACAATCACAAATGATTCTCATTTTATTGACAAAAAAACAGGCTGAGAAGAGGTGACTTTGCCCAGAGTCACACAGCTAGTAGGTGCCTGAGGCAAACTTTGAACTCAGGCCTTCCGGCATTTTAGTCATAGTGACACCTAACTGCCCAGATGTGTATTGAACAAGACAGGAAGAGTGGAAAGAAAGTTCTTGGGAAGTGGGAATATAGAGACACTCCCGAGATAAACCCTTCCCTCCATCCCCATCCCAGCCCTCACGCCCGGCATCTCCTGTACCTTGACCTCATAAGAGCGCTCAGCCGAGCTGACGGACAGAGCTTGGGTACACAGTAGCAGTAGCAGCGGCAGCATGAAGGCAGCGGCGGGCACAGCGACCACAATGCTGGCAGTGAGGCTAAGGGTGGAGACCTGCCTCCCTGCACCTTCCCGGCTGCCCTAGTCTCCCTTCTCTATCCTTATTTCAGCAGCCCCTTGCCTGTCTCCTTAGTGGTCCCTTTCCTCTTGTCCCTCCTTCCTGGTCCCTTGTCCTTGGCTCATTCCTATTCTCTCTGCCTTACCTCCCTCTGTCCCTGACCCATCATTCCCTGTCTTCACTGCCCGCCTCTCTGATCCCTTCCCATTTCTTTTGTTTTGTTTTATTTTGTTTTTGCTTTTTGGTTAGGCAATCGGGGTTAAGTGACTTGCCCGGGGTCACACAGCTAGTAACTGTCAACCCATTTCTTATTCCTCCTCCTGGTCCACAGGATCCCTCCCTAAACCCTCCCTAAACCCTCCCCTATCTTTATTCCTCTTCCCTGACCCCCTTCCTTCTACACAGGCTTCACTCTCTCACATCTTCCCGGCTTTGATTGCTGCCCCTCCCCCTCCCCTACCCTCAGACCACATCCTCTTTCAAGAAGCCCCAGCCCCAGTAGCCCAAAAGATGATACGCAAAGGCCTTATCCACAGAGAACGGCTGCTGGGATGTTCGTATCAGGAAGGCCAAGCAGGCAGAAAGCAGGGCTCCCGTGTAGAGGCAGAGCGAGGCCACCAGCAGCATGAAGCATCGGAAGTTGCGTTGGCCAATGCAGTTGTTGACCCATTTGCAATGGTGATCAAAATCCTGGGAGAAGTGGGGATGAAGTGGGGCTGGGGATTCAACTAAGAAATCCCTAAGCCTCAAACCCCACTCCCTTTCCTTACCCTTAACTTTCCACCCATTTTCAAACCCCTTCCTTTGGACTCACTTTTTTTTCCCCCCACCCACACACAGGAAGAAACTGAGAGGCCAATTAGCCAGCAAATTTTGTCCCTTGGCCTGATAAACTAGGAGTTATGAGTTCATCCTTTCAGAGAGGCAGTCTGGGGCCATGAAAAGAGAGTCAGACCAGAAATCTGGAGACCTGGGCTCCAGCTTAAGCTCTCTCACCAAGAAGGTATGTGACTCTGGGCAAAACATATCACCTCTCAGAGGTTTTGATTTCCCCAACCGTAATATGAGGATGCTAATTATACCTTTCCTGCCTATCTAACAGAGTTGGTAGGAGGCTCAAATAAGAAAATATAATACCTAGTAATTGTATAGAACTTTAAGACTTGAAAGGGCTTTCTATACATCATCTCATTAGAACATGAATGAAAAGCCATTTGATAAAAAGTGCTCTACACAACTTTTAGATTATTGTTGTAAGAAAGTCTCCTGACCTGGAAACCCGGGCTTTGTTCCCAAAGACTTGAGTCAGCAAAAGACAAGAGTTTCTCTCTGGGCTCAGCATTGCGTTGGCCCATTCCCTGCCCCAACCCCATCCCTAAACGAACTCCTGCAAGCACACACACTCCTACATGATCTTCTCAGTTGAGACTAATAATGTCAGCTTTCTCTCCACCCCAAAAGAGATGTAAGTGTGTTTGTGTAAAGATAGAATGTAAAAATCCCAAGCTAGGAGTTCTTAATGTAGGGTCTGCAGTGTTTGGGTAGATTTCACATGGGTTTGTGAACTTAGGTGGGATAAAAATTTTTGTTTAGTCATATCTGGCTCTTTGTGACCCCAGTTGGGGTTTTCTTGGCAAAAAATACTGGAGTGGTTTGCCATTTCCTTTTCTAGCTCATTTTACAGATGAGGAAACTGAAGCAAATGGGGTCAAGTGATTTGCCCAGGGTTACACAGCTAGTAAGTGTCTGAGACCAAATTTGAACTCATGAAGATTAATCTTTCTGATTCCAGGACTGGTGTTGTATCCACTGCATCACCTAACTGCTCTGGATAAAAATTACATCTCTATTTTCACTACCCTCTCACTGAAATTTGTCATTTCCTTCAATTATCAATTTTTTTAAAACCATTTAAAAAAAAAGGTTTTGCCTAACTACCGAAGAAAGGCATCCTTGACTCAAAAAAGGCTTGGAACCTCTACGTCCTAAACTGTCTGAACTCTTAGGAAGGATTGTTAGAGATCATCTACCTATCTGATTCAGCCCTCTCATTTTCCAGATGAGGAAATGGAGGTCTAGATTTAAAACTAGAATGGTCCTCAGGTTACCAAGTACAGCCCTCTCCCATTTTAGAGATGAGAAAACTGAGCCCCAGGAAGGTTCAATCACTTGCCTACGGTCACACAGGTAGTGAGTGTCAGAGGTAAGATTTAAACCCACATCTTTTGACTCCAGAATCAAAGCTTGTTTTACATTGTGATGCTCTCTAAGGTCTCATAGCCAGTTAGTGGCAGGGCTGGAAATCAAACCCAGATCTTCTGATTTCCAAAGCCAGGGCTCTCCTGATAGCATCTGACAACATCTCTCATTTTTATAGACGTGCCTGATGTATGTATACATATGTTTCCTAATGTGGTGGAGATAGCTAACATGTGACATGTTTTGGAACAGTCTTAAAAGGTTCTCCTCATACAGGTATTTATGTGATGTAGTGGGAAACTGGGCTGATGTACAGAAAAGGCCACTAGATGTGCTGTCAGAAGACTAGGACTTAAATCCTAGCTCTGAACTTTTGTGTGACATCTCACAAGTCCTATAACCTCTCTGAGCCTCAGTTTCCTCATCTGGAAAATGGAGATAAATCTTTCAATGTCTTACCTCAAAGAGGTTGTTGTGAGAAAGGTACTAGAGGAAATGTGAGCTATTGTTATATATATTTAGGTTTGGCTTACAGGTTCTGTAGGTGGGGAGGAGTCATGAAGCCAGCCAAGATGCCCATCCAGAGCTCACCTCCACACAGATGTTGCACCAGGGACAGTGGTAGGTCCGGGGAGGACGGTGGTAGCAACACCTCCGGCACCATTGAAGGTGGAAAGCTCTCCTGTTCACCCACACCACCTTGATGGCCAGTGGACACTGCCACTCAGAGCCTGGGTATGGAGAGAGGCAGGAAGCACCTGATGATGCTTACATCCCCACAACCAGCTGGTCACTAGAACCACGGACTAGAGGCCTGGGAGCCTCCAGGTTCCAGGACTTTAAAGAACCCTGCCCGGAGGAAGGGAGCAGTCTAGGGGGAAGAGGTAGAGTAGAGACATTCACAGGTGCGTCCAGGCCCAGGGAACCACCCTACAGGGGCACCTGAGTGTCTAAAGCACGTGGGTTTTCCAGCAGGAGGAGTTTGGTTTAGAAAACAGGTCTTCGGAGTCATGGTTGACCTGCCTTTCAGGTGGAGTTGAGGAAGGGAGTGAGACAGATAAGAAAGGGAAAAAAAAAAGAAAAAAGGTATTGGGAAAGTAGGACACGTCCAGTGGGATGGAAGAAGGAGCATGTTCTCCTTACGACCCTGCTCCACAACTTCTGGGTTTCTCCCCTCCTCTTCCTTTCCATACTCACTTTACCCTCTCCCAGAATCAACAGGAAAACCCTCAGAAGTCACCCAGACCCGGTTCCCTCCTTTTACAGATGCAGAAATCTATTTCCCAAGAGGGAGAATGACTTCCCAAGCTCTCTCAGCTAATTAGCGGCAGAGTCAGAAAGAGACCCTAGGTCTCTTGGTTACTAGCTTAGAGCAGAACCCCACTTTGGCCTCAGAAGCTCCCTAAGTCACCACTTGATAGTTTGGGAAACACAGCTTCTGGAGGCAGAAGGGGAGGAGGCAGGTGTTCTGGGGAAACTGAGGCACAAAGAAGGGAAAGGTTTTAGATCTCCATGGTTTGCCCGATCTATGGCCACCAACCCTCCTCCTCCTCCCCATCCCCTTTTACTTTTTGGAGTACAAGGTCTCAGGCAGGCAGGGGGACCTTACCTCGGTGGAGAATGCCAGGGTCAGAGAAATTGAGAAAAATAAGACTGACCAGAGTTGGAACAAAAAGGAACCCGGTGATGGTGGGAGACACCCAGTCACCATGCTGAGCAAGCCACCTGCAACTGAAAACAGAGCCAACCCCAGGCTGTTTCCTTTCCAGCCTTCCCTCTACTCTGCTATGCATTTTCTCTCCCATCCCAACTCATCCCAACCCCCAGGGTCCAGTAGGACTAAAAGGAAGGTGTATCGAATGTAAACTTCCAGAATTGGATATTGTCTCCCATCTCATTATCTCAGCCAATGTCACAACCTAACATTAGACAGGCCATGGCCTCTTTTAAGGCAGCGAGGGGAAGAGAATTCCTGTTCTTCTTGGTCACTCTGATGAGCAAGGTTCAGGGAGTATGGCCCATTTCAGTACAGTGGCCATTTTTTACCCACCAACCACTCATTCAGGGCCTTGAAATATCTGGGTGGGCTTTGGAGAAAGACAGGGAGGTCACCCTGGACCAGCCCAGAAGACTAAAGAGAATAGTCGGGGCATTGGCTTGGAGGAAGGTAAGCATCTCACTGATTGGGAGCAGCTGTGGGTATCTGTGAGCTGATGTGATTTCTGTGAGAGATGAGGGACCGCTCTAGCAGATCTTCCCTATCCATTTGGGATTCCTGCAAAGGGAAGGGGCAGCCAGCTGGGCCATGGAGAAGGCAAGTTGCCTGTGAGATGGGGAGCTCCGTCCTGATCTGTATACATGTCGTGCTTCACGGGAGCAGAGAATCGAGAGAGCCCCACTCACGGAAAGGAGAAGAACAGACCACTGATGGTGATCAACAGCACAACATTGAAGGCAGCAAAAATGCTGGACGGAGCCCAGGGAGGAGGCGCATCCCTGTGGGGCACTGCCACCCTCCTGGGGCGCATGGCCAGGCACCCAGGGCCACCAGGGGAGAGCGGAGCCACTGCTGGGCTCTCTTCCCCCTGCTGGCTACCTAAGACCTGTCCCTGACCTTCAGAATCCTACGAGGAGAAGTTGCCAAGTCGATGGGGTCCAGAAGGAGAAAATACAATGTGACGTCATAGTGGATGAGCAGGCTCCAAGGGGAGAGAGAGCCTTAGGAGTTTTCCAACAGAGACACTTCCATCTGGTTCTCCTGTTTTATTTGACTGTTCTCTGTCCACTGGCTTCCAAGCCCCTTGTCCAAGTTCTGCTCCTGTGAGGGATTGTTTTCATAAGAACGAAATAGATAGATAGATAGATAGATAGATAGATAGATAGATAAAAAAGATAGAAAGACAGCATTTATGAAGTGTTTACTATGAGTCAGGTACTGTGCTAAGGACTAACACGCTGAAAAGTAGTGGGGGAGAGGAGGGGAAAGATATTCAAACCTAGGATTATGGTGAGGAGATGACTGGAAATTGGTGAGGTTAAAATGAAAGTTCACCTATCAGATCCTAGGGATTCAGGGGGTGATTCCAAATTTTCATTAGCGTGGAGATGGTCAGAGAAAAGGGCCATGGTGAAGAACCAGTGGGGATGTGGCATGGAAACCTGAACCTCACACGTGGCTGGACAGCTACACTAGTGCTTAAGGATATAAAGTTTGGGAAAATATATTGGAAACAGATCTTTGGTTGTCCTCTACTTAAAAAAAAAAATCCAGCCAAAAGTTACTAAAAGGTAACTTGCCCTGTCTCTACCCCACCAATTTTCAAAATTATTATTATTATTATTATGATACCAGTGATTTCACTGAGGCAGGTAAGGAACTCCTCTCTATCAATGTTGATGGGCCAGGTTCTACCAAACTCCTTTTATGAGACAAATATGGTACTGATACCTAAACCAGGAAGAGCTACAAGCAAGAAGGAAAACTATAGACCAATTTTCATAATGAATATTGAAGCAAACATTTTAAATAAACTACTAGCAAGGAAATTATAGCAATATATCACAAGGATCATACACGATTACCAGGTAGGATTTGTTCCAGGAATGCAAGGCTGATTCAATATTAGGAAAACTATGAGCATAATTGACCACATCAATAACAAAACCAACAGAAATCATATGATTGTCTCAATAGATGCTGAAAAAGCTTTTGACAAAATATAGCACCCATCCCTATTAAAAACATTAGAGAACATAGGAATTAAGGGAACTTTCCTTAAAATGAAAAAGAAATTGAAGGAATTAGAATAGGCAATGAAGAAACAAAACTATTACTCCTTGCAGATGGTGTGATGGTATACTTAGAGAATACTAGAGAATTAACTAAAAACTAGTTGAAATAATTAATTTTAGCAAAGTTGCAGGATATAAAATAAACCCACACAAATCATCAGCATTTCTGTATATAAGCAACAAAGTCTAGTAGCAAGAGATAGAAAGAGAAATTCCTTTTAAAATAACTGCAGACAGTATAAAATACATGGGAGTCTATCTGCCAAGACAAACCCAGGAACTGTATGAACACAATTATAAAACATTTTTCACACAAATAAAGTCAGATCTAAACAACTGGAAAAATATCAGTTGCTCATGAATAGGCCAACCAATGTAATAAAAATAACAATTCTGCCCAAACTAGTTTACTTTATCAGTGTCATACCAAACAAACTACCAAAATTATTTTCTAGAACTAGAAAACATAACAAAATTCATATGAAAAATAAAAGTTCAAGAATATTAAGGATATTAATGAAAAAAATGTGAAGAAATACCTGTACCAGATCTCAAACTATATTATAAAGTGGTAATCATCAAAACTGCCAGGTACTGGCTAAAAAATAGAGTGGTAGATCAGTGGGTACACTGATCAGTAGGTAGACAAGACATAGTTGTAAATGACCATAGTACTCTAATGTTTGATTAACCCAAAGACCCCAGCCTCTGGGTTAAGAATTCAACTATTTGACAAAAACTGCTGGGAAAACTGGAAAACAATATAGCAGACACTAGATATAGACCAACATCTTATACTCTATACCAAGATAAGGTCAAAATGGGTACATGATTTAGACATAAAGGGTAATATCATAAGCAAATTAGAAGAGCAAGGAATAGTTTACCTGTCAAATCTATGAAGAAGTTAAGAATTTATGACAAAATGA